ACAGTTCTCCACTTGTTAGTATAGCACGGGAGAACCCAGAGATTTATTGTAGGGAGAGAAGTTGAGGGTAAGTAGTGAGGCTCTGCCATAGGCAGTATAAAGCCTTCCCTCATCCTCACAATAAAATCTCAGCAAGATCTGCACCACTACCACAAATAAAATAAAGATAATCCCTGATTTGTAAATAGTAAGTGCTTGGTGAATGTTTGAATCAGCGACACATACCATGTTAAATAACCACAGAATTTATTCACACAACCAGCATTTATCACACATTTCTAATGTCCCTCCTAGTTGTTATTACTGCTGTTTCTTTAATTAGTAAAGAAAACCTATCATATGAACCAAACTGTAAGTGTTGCAGCTTACAACAAAGCTCATTTTAGTTTGATGTTTGTTACTGTACCATGACACTCAGCCACAAGATGTAATTAATATTACTTTCATATAGTCACAAGAAATATTTCTGTAATCACCTAGAAGAAGAGTAGAGATAAGCGATACCTCGGTTCACAAACAATTCTTTCCATGATTCTGTCTGCATACTGAATCATTCACAAGCCAAATCAAATTTCCCTGTAAGGTCAACATTGAACCTAACCATTGAATTTGATTGGGTTTGCAACCAGACTCTTGGGGAAAATTAAGTTCATGAACCAAGGCTCCACTGTACAGATAAAAAAATTTTGAGATCCTTCTGACTGCCTGAGTCCATGCCTCAGGAAACAATCAGAACTCTCTCATGATTCCAGTACCAGTGCTTGGGACCCTCCAACTGATGGGATTGTCTACATTTAGACATTGGAATCCAGCACAAACCTTTGACACAGTCTCCATCTTTCCTTTTCTTATTCCCACTGGATCTGAAAAGTTGGACATACATCAGTGGACCCAAAGAAGCAAGTGGAGTTAGTAAGAATAGCTGTTTTCTGTTCAACAGCTTATTTCCTATTCCATGGTAGGAATATATTAGAAAGTAAATTGTTTATGTTTAAAGGAGTCTGCCCTCAGTTCCACACACATCCTCAATCCCAATATTTTATCTTACCAGTTGAAAATATTTAGCAAACATTTTCCTCCTGAAAATATAAGATAGGATTAGGGCTGGAAGGATTGTCAACCGTTTAGCATTATTTAATTTTGATTAATTTACCACTTAGCTGTATTGTTATGAGAAAAATAACTATGGAGAGATGGAGTGATGGCATTCTGACTAGGCAGACGCAGCAGATTTAGGAACTCTGAGAAAGTTAATTTGGGTACTTTTTTTTTTTAAACCTGGGATTGAACTTGGGACCTTGTGCTTGTGAGGCAGGTGGCAAAACCACTGAGCTAACCCCCCCCCCCCGGAAAGTTAATTAAAGTAGGATATTTGGGACATCCAGGAAGCAACTTGGAGGCTGATTGGATGTTTTAGGGTAAAGAGTCAGAGTATAAAGATAAAGAAAAAGTAAGTATTTAAAATGGCAGTAAAAGAAGTTCAGAAAGTAGAAAAAATGAAAAAAAAAATGGGAAGAGAATCAGATTTTTAAAAAAATAGGGCGAAAGTCTATTAGGAAACAAAAAACAATGAAAATGGAATTGAAAACAAATTGGTCATGGGGAACAAAAATAAATGTTCTAGAAACCGAGGTCATCAGCAGTTTATATCTCCTTCATTTAAAACCATTAGGCTACTTATTTATAAAATCTACTCTAACTCATTATTTATGAAAAGTAAGAGGTTCCATTGCATCGTCTTCTTAGCAGTGATTTCTAAATTTATTTTTATGTTATAAAACATTGATAAAACATAAATATGGTCAACTCATCTACTTACCTGATTTTTTGTATCCTGAGCATTTTCTTCTAGTTCTCATTACCCTCAAACACATCTAAACTATGCACAGTATTTCAAGTATCTTGAGTTATAAAGTATTTTCTGATATTAACTCTGAAATTACTGTGAACTCTGAGCTGGAGTTTTTTTTAATAGTTTATATTTATAATTTACAAGAGGAAAATGCTTTATTTTTTAAAGAAAATGTGCTTTTAATATTTTCTCTTTGCATTTATGATATAATTCACTTCAAGGATCACAGAATCCTTTTCTTCCAGTGCCACAAACCATATTACAAATGAAAGCTGGTACTGCTGATTATCAAAGTATATAAAACAATTGATGTTTTATATAAAACACTTTATATGTTAACTTGTTCCCAAAAACCTCTTTTTTTCTTCTTTCTTTTTTCCTTTTTCTTTTACCCTGGTTAAAAGAAGTCCTTAAAATATTTACAGCATTTTTTTCTTTTAGATGAATATTCTTACAAACTGAAAAGGGGAATTTTATGAACAGATCATGTAAAGCATAAGACAATGCCAGAGACTCCTAGCTATGCTATTTATTTTTTCTGAATGCAGTACTGAAAATGCCCAGCAAACTCCTGTCATTCTAGTCCATTCTGTTCATGTTTAAACTCCCATTTCTTTAAGTAGTCTAGAGAATGCTTTATAAGTGTAAAAGATGTTGAAGGAATTAGTGTCTGAATAACTTTAATATTTTAGAAATTATCTAGAAAGTAAAATTTTTAGGTAATCAGGCTGTGCTCTTCTAAGCACTGAAATGTAAGATCAGTGGAGACACACTGTGGGAGAGTGGATTGGTCAAATTTAGTTCAAAGTAAATGGCAAATAATGGTTGCCATAAATTCAAAGAATTGTTACTTTCTACTTCATGAAGTATTTGTGAATATCCCTCCATGTTTCCATTTCTTTCTTTCTATTAGCTATCCCTTTCCCCATCCACAGCCAGAATGACAGTACAATACTTTTAAAAGGGGGATTTTTCCCCCCAAACCCTTCACCTATATATGCACACACATAAACATACCACTTCCCAGTTTAAGGCAGAAAACTACTGTGGCCTTCAGTTAGGCATGCAGATAAACAGGATAACTGATAATGGTAAAAGAGAGTAAATGAACGGGAGAAAATGGGCAGCATGGGCCATAAGGAGAGTGACCACATATCACTGATACCCAATTTATTTTATAAACTATTGTCGCCTCTGGTCTTTCTTTTTCAGGTTTTCTTTTAGATATGGGGCACATAGTCATAGAGATCTTTTAATCTGAAAGTGCCCCATCTGTAATAGGTTGAATGCTGTTCTTGCCAGCTTATTTGTTCAATTGTCCATTTCTATTTGTTAATGAGACAAGGATGATTTTTTTTTTAATCTTTCTATCCTGGGACTTAACACAGTTTCATGCTTTTTATTATTAGGATATTTGAGTGGATAGATAGATGAATATATGGATGGATTTTAAAGAATTTTTTCTACTTTAGGAGATTTAATTGTAAAGGTAAATCTAAATTTTAGATTTATGAAGAATAACTACCACATACCACATTGATATTTTTTATATTCCTAAAACCATAAAATCATTAACCACAGCAAGTACCAGAAATTCTCTCGCTCACCTAGGTAAAAGGTTTAGGTTAAAATTTGCCTGATTAAGAAATAAAATGACATAAAAAAAAAAAGAAAGAAAATGACATAGAATCTTCCTGTTCCTCATTGAGAACCAAAACAGCCACTAAATCTAGTTGTGAGGAAACAGCATTTCTGACCTGATAATTAGCATAAAGGTGTCCCAACTGTCTTCCTTCTGTTTTACGCTTATCTTCTTGATCATTGTACATAAATTTTCACATCAGTTTATAGTGTTTCTTTGTCAGAACCTGGTATCACTTAAACTCTAATTTAGTACAAAATTTAGATATTTGGGCCAGGGATTTAATTCAGTGGTTCTGCTGCATGCTTCACAAGCGCAAGCCTTGCTTTGCAAGGTTCCAAGTTCAATCCCTGGTACCAAAAATTTTTTTTAGATATTTAGGTGCTGAGTTGTTAGAGGCTTGGGGGTGTACAGTTAATAGAGAGTGACTGTTTAATGTATTTGGGGTTTCTATTGAGATAATGAAAATGTGGAACTAGATAGAGATGACAGTTGTACAACTTTGTGAATGTACTAAATGGCACTTAAAATAGTTTTATGCTATGTGTATTTTACCTTCATTAATAAAACCTCTTTCCCAACATTTTTTTAGTTCATGCCATGCCTAGAAATTATCAAAAAGTATATGCTGTAGCTTGGAGGATGTCTTTCTGTAGCTAGTATGATCCTGTGGGTATTTCTTCAAACAGTGATGCTTACTAGAGTGAAAATGAGCACTCATAGGTTAATGCTAAAGTATAAGCATAGACCAGGGTTATCCCAGGCAGTGGGAGAACAATCATATTTCTTAAAGGTAACACTAAATGCTCACCACCACTACTTATTAAATATCTACATCATTAAATTCAATAGCATTTTAAAATAATTTCCAGGGCTGGGAATTAAGCTCAGCAGCATAGCACCTGCCTGGCAAACACAAAGTCCTGAGTTCAATCCCTGGTACCAAAAATAATAATAATAATAGTAATAATAATTCCCTAAGCTTCCAGTACAGAACATAGACTTGAGTAAAACAATTCTTGTTTTTAATAAAAAGGAATGATACTTTAACAGATGCTTCTTAAATCCTGCTTTTGGTGGTACCTGAATAGGTCTTCAGTAGTTGTGTAGGTTGGGCTGTACATCTATCTGTGCATGCCTACACATACAGATATATACCACGCATACTCATACTCTCACCCTCAGTTCTAGTAGGTAAGTATTGCCAGGGTAGGATGACATATTTATATCAGTGAAAGATGAAAACTTATGTTACTAATATACTTCTCTCAAGATTTTGGCTACTACTTTTCTCCAAGGAACACATACCATACTTTTAGAGATAGTACATTGTTTCCGTGAGCTTGCACTGTATGTTGATTACTAACTCATTACCTATTTGGATATGTAGGTTTATCATGTCTTTTTTTCTTTGTGTGTGTGTGTACACACTTATGGTTACCAATAAAGTGGTTTCAGCGACAGAGTTGAAAGTAGGCTCTAATCTTCATGTTTTACCTTTTCTAGAACTGTCAAGTAATCCACCTCTGGCTACCATCCTTATTCCTCCTCATGCTCGGATCCAAGCAGCTGCTTCAACACCCACAAATGCCACAGCAGCCTCAGGTGAGGAAACAGAATCAATTTCTAAAAACATGTACTTTTTTTTTTTAAAGCCACATGATACCTCCATTTCATTTCATGTGATTGAGTATAAACATTTAATTCCTTTTAAGTATCAAAAATGTAGCACAGCTAAGGGAACAAAAGCAAATAAAATAATACTTTAGTTATAAAATATGCAACAAAAGCATTTTGTCTATAATATGTACAGTATAAATATCTTAATTTCTTGATTCATTTATATCAAATAAGATGCTTATGGCAGAAAATAGCCTGTATAAATGTATTATTATTTAAGAGAATTCACTTTAGTTCTAGTCCTCTTAATATAAATTACATTAGTGTACTGGAGAGGCAAAATTTTAAGAAGTATAGGTTGTTATAAACTTTCAATCATTTGAAAGGGCTAAGAGTGCAATGAAAGTGCATTTAACTAAGTTAGAATAAAATGTGACTAGACTCTTGTCTCCAAAAAACTAAAGGAAGACTCCCCTATGGATTCACAGGTTAGAGGTAAAGTGTTGCTGGGCCCTTAGGCAGCTAAATGGGACCTGCATTAGTAAAAATCACAGTCATTGCGGATTCTGAAAATACCCAATCCTTGAGTGAATGGTTGGATGCTGTTAAAATGAAATTAGAATCATTATAGGTAGCACAATTAGAGGTTTAGGATTTGGTAGCCCCCTCTAAAAAAGCAAGTGGCAGAAGTTGACTCTTTTCATTAAATCATCAGTCACCTTGAACAGTCACATTTTTGTTTGAGGAAATGTATGCTGTGGGAGAGAAAAATCTTTCATTGCTAGTTCTTAGCACTGAACCATAAAAGTCAAAATCCATCTCCTGTTATCTGAAGCAGAGTTGTCTGTTTTTGTCCAGTCTTAATCTTTTAAATATTGTTAATGAAGATTAAAAACATTTCATTCTAAGCTCATGTCCTACCTTCCAGTAGAAGTGTGAAGTCTCTTTTCCAGTCCCAACTCTTTTGGGATATGCTACATAAAGAAAATTATGTGAATGTTATTAGCTTTATTAGTGTCTTATTTGTTTTCTCGTTGTTTAAAATGTAGCAAAATGATCCAAAAGCAATGCTGTGAAAATAAAATATTTACCGAAATGTGCTTTAAATTTTTTAAATGTAAAAATAACAGTTTCAAACACTAACCTTTTTACTTAGAACAAAGAGAATTGCTGAGATGAGCTATTAATAAACTGAATACATTACTGGCTAGGTTAGATTACATTGATTGTTCACAATATGAAATACCGTAGGCCCTAACCGTGAACTAACACATTTACTGATTAAGCTAGTTTCTATGAATTTTGTTAGAATTGCTTAAACTGTATATAAAAATGAGGATAGTAATTAGTAAATTTGGGGTAATTTAAAATAAATTTCTTAGCTGGGCATGGTGGTACATACCTGTGATTTCTGCTATTCAGGAGGCTAGGGCAGGAGGATCAAAAGTTGGAGGCCTGCTTGAGCAACTTAGGGAACCCTTGTCTCAAAATTTTAAAAAATAAATTATAAATATAAAGAGGCTAATAAATACCTCAGTGGTGGAGCATTCCTGGATTCAGTCTTTAGTACAGCTATCAATAAAAATTGCTGGGGATTTAGCTCAGTGGTTCTGCTACCTGCCTTGCTTGCAAGCGCAAGGACCTGAGTTCGATCCCCGGTACCAAACAAAAAAACAACAAAAAATTGTTTTTTTCTTAATATGAGATATTGAACTAATTAACAATTGCACCCTAAGTTCTAGGTTCATTATATGCCAGGAGGGAGCTTGATGTAACCTGATTTTTATGGTGTTTTGGTGCAAGTTACAGTAGTTACCAAAAAATGTGGGTCACTGCATGTATATTCTGCTATAAAAAGCAGGTATCAATATAAAAATGAAAAATGATGCTGGACTTTTTTGACCCTAAGAGTTTGTTCCAAGGTAGAAGTAAAACAGGATATGAGGAAGTTAACAGAGGGAATAATGAGTTGATGTCAGAGCTAAAATTAGAGACATGTTTGTTATACTAAAGAGGATATCAGATAGTGCTGAGCTTTTTAGTGGCTGCAGTAAATATCAGTGTCTAAAGTAAGTATTATCTGTTGGCATTTCCCATTGTTCTTTAATTTAAAAGTACATTGGTGGCTAAAGAGAAGCGGTGTTTCTGGCCCCGCTGTTGTTCCTGAGGCCTCAGATTGGGTACTGAAAGAGACAGAGTAAGTTCTTATCACTATTCAATAAGAAATGATAGTGAGCTTCATATGGATACTTTTAAAAGGCTCCCTACTGTAAGCCAAAGAAACAGTTTTTTAGGGAGCCAAAGTAGTAAAGGCCAGGTGTGTCACAGGTGCTTATGACCAGTGTGTAACAAGTGCGTGCTCCATATTTATATTTTAAGTGAGAATTTGGCAATATGCGTTAAAACCTTTGACTTAGCTTTAGTTCCTTATCCAAAAAACAGGAATAGTAAATATCTCCTACCACAGAGAGTTGTCAAAAGTAAGAGATAAGATCTGTTCAGATTGCATAGCACTTTGCCTGGCCACTAGCAGTGAAAGGAAACTGCTACTATTATACTGTATTTATTATTGTTATTTCCAAGTAAGTACAGATCCAGACATTTTTTTTTTTTTAATGTCCATGTGGAAGACAAGATTAACATCAGTCCTCTATAATAATCTGTGACTATTCATGATCAGGGATTGCCTACAGGCATGAGAGAAGCTTTTCCTCATAAGCATTTCTGAGACTGCTTCTGGGTACAAGGAAAGAAATTTTAAGCTACAAAGCTCCACACCTTCAATATCTGAGTCTAGAAGTATTTCACATTCAAGATTTTCAAAGTAATAATTTCTAATCATCCCCCATAACTGCGGCACCACAGTAATACATCCCAAAATGCCCTAGATTGAGTTGCAAGATGCTCCTTTGAGTTACTAAGTTAATTGGCTTACTTGATTTAAGTCAGTGTAATGGAGAACATGTACAAAAGAATTAGTAGTTTATAGGCACAGCTGCTTATAATTAACAAGACTATGAATAAGAAACAATAAAATTTTTAAAATTTTAAAAAAGAAACAGAATAATACCTATTTTTAATAATCCAAGAAATGTGCCTTCTAATCATCTAAACATAGTTTTAGATCACTGATACACAACAAATTCAAAAGAGAATCACAGCCCTGAAATTACCATCTGATCTGCTAAAGTACCATTCCTCCTGATGCTTAGCACCGTTGAAGTTCAGGTTTTATCAGGTGTGTATGGGTCCAGAGCAAGGTCATCAGAATACAGAGGCTCCTAGATGACTGCCTCAGAGACTTTCGTATTCGTAACTGCCTTAAATAAGAGTGGAATTTCCTCACTTTCATGTTGACCTCAGTTCTAAAATAGGATAAAAGAAGAACAAAAAGCAAATTGACGATGATGCCACCAACCATGTTTATACCGACTGTATTATGAAGTAAGCTTTTGCATTTCTGTCAAGTGTTAGTGATATTCAGAGCTATTAAATGCTTCTAGATATTTAGGTCTTATTAAATTTTAAATACATTTATAGGCAGAAATTTTAATTCTCTATATTGCTGCTTCCAGAAAAACAAATACAGTAGAACTTTTCTTATCAGGAGTATGATGTAAAAATCCTGTTTTGGGAGTATATAATTGTTTTTCTCTAGCCTCTCAAAAATAAGAACTAGTACAGTGAAATATAATAGTTTCTGACCTTAAGTTTGATCATATTAACACTAAGGAAACTAGTTCTGCAGATATTTCAACTACTCTTTCCTTATGTTGTTTTCAAGGTTCAGATAGTGATTGCAGGTACATTCATGAAAACATTACAAATTATAGACATCAGAGTTTATACTTCTAATTCATCAGTTTCATGTTAGGCCCTTAACTTTATGATACACCTAGTAGAAGAAAAACAAGCCACAATGTACAGAGATAAGAATCCATAATACATAATAGTAAATTATGTAATAAAATTTTGTGTGTAACAGGAGAACCAATCTTTTCAATGGTCAGAAGTAAGAAATTGTTTTAGTACATTGTGGAATCTCATTTTTATGTGGGCATAAAAAACAATTATGAAGCTTTATCATTTGTTGAAATCCTCATTCTGATTTGTGTTGGAAAAATTTTTAAATCTGAACAAACTGCCAAAGTGCATATGTGGATTCGGTAGGGACTGTTTACAAAACTTGAAAGAGCTTTAATTGCTGAGTAGGGTGTTGATTGTAATTTTTGCCAGAAATTTTCACATTCTTTTTAAGTTGTTTTTGGAATACTTTAGTTATGGGGACATTATAATTGATCATGGTGCTGAATGATACTTAAACCTCTTGATAATTACACATAGTACTCTCAACTCATAAAGTGTTTTTTCTTTTATAATGTTGTATATAAATTATTTTCTCCACACCCCCAGAAGATAATCTTATTCACTCCTTTTCAGAGACCATTCATCTGGACCACCTAGAGTAATATTACTATAGTTTTTCTAGTCAAATATTCATGACTTCAAAGATCATTTGATGGTCCAGTAGCAAATGAGTTAAATGTAAAATGTGTCAGAATACTTCAACTACTACTATTAAAAACAAATTTAAAGCCACTGATTTTAGTTCACTGTTATATACTGCGAAGTGGTCATCTATTCCATGAGTATGTATATGCAGAGATTGGAAGCTCAGTATTACAAGGATGAGCATATTCCATCTTGAGTTTCATTCTGAAATTTATTTCCCTCTCTTCCATGGATAACATGCCTTCCAGACTAACGATTTTAAATACTAATCCTGGATATGTATAAAGCATTAGGGTGTTAGGTTTCTAGACAGTTGTGTATTGTTTGCACATTTCATAAACATACCTGGGTTTTTGTTGCCTCTATCCAAGCAAGTAACAAAATGTATCAAAGGGTACAAGAGCAGGGCCTGTTAGGAAGTGTCTGCTTTTCCCCAAGTTAAAGGTGTACTAATTCAGGGAACTTTGCAAATC